GGAGGGGGAGAAGTAAGGTGGAGAAGGGAAGAGAAGAGGGGTGGCTGCTTTGTTTCACTTTTTTATTTGCACAAGGCTTATTTTCACTGTCTCTTAGAGGTTGACCCCACTGCACACAAAACCAATGTGAGGGTCCAAGTAGAAAATAATTTATAATACTGTGTACCAGATGCATATTTAACAATTTTGAATGGCAAAGAGGGAGATATGACAGCCAGAAGAATAAAAAACCATAAATGTGATTTTTGTACATGGGTGCTACAAACTCTCCTGATGGTATAGGAGTATAGTTCAGCTGATGAAGCCTTTTCACTATTTAAGCATTTCCACAGTATAGGCCAGGAAGGTCCTACTAAATTTTAACTTGATTATTTTGAAATCTTGTAGGGGATAATTTTAAATATACCAGAGAAAATTTTTACTCTGTGTCCATTTGTGGGAATTAATTGCCCTTCAGTATTTATGGAAAAGGAGCTCTTGTTTCTCTAGGAAAGGAGGAGAAGGAGTTCTGAGTGAGCAACTGCTTCTCCAATACAAGGAGAAAAGGGTGGGGGTGGGGAGAGAAAATCTTCTTTTGTATCATGACTTACATGGCCTCTACCCCAGAAATGCTTGCAGTGTTTATAGAGGAAGTAACCTCACTTTCATTTCCCCGTATTTGGTCTATGGCTTACCTCATGCTTGTCAGGAGCAATGAAATTCAATTGGCCATTTGAGTCATACAATATAGAGAAAGCAAGCTCGAGCACCTCCTGGAACAATAGTCACACAGAAACACAGGTTAAAATTCCATTAAAGAAAGTCACATGTTCATATTTTAGCCTTCCTCTCTCTCTACCAACAGTGCCAAAGAAAACTGAAATGCTTTGTAGTATCCACCAGGAAGGAATGCTGCTCCCTTGGCACCCTTCATTCCTAGCCAGCATTGCAATGGTTCCAGATTTAGGCAATGGATAACAGATTGGGCAACAGCAGACATAATGCAGATGCAATAGCAGTGAGAGCAGCAGGATACATTGAAAATGACTAGTAGTGACAGTCTTGGAGTCTGGATTAGGCTAGTATTTGAGTTCAAATCTGAGCCCTCCCATGGCTAAAACTGAGTCCTAAGGCACCAAAATCTTAAAGCATTTTGGCTCCATGATAAGGCTAGTTTGTATCTTGTGGCATCTGTGCCACCTTTACTGTTGGGATTACTAAATTATCCATTCTCATGATGCCTTTGCTATTTTGGCCATTGAGCAAAGAACTAGCAAGCATTGGGTGAATTCTCCAGGAGCACAAAAGTGGCACTCCCTTCTTTGAGATCACCCCCGACAGGGTAGAAGGCATGTTGCTTAAGGAGGTATGACAGTGGTGCCTTTTAGAGGGCCATTACAAGGTGCTGCAACATATGTTAGCTCTTGAGTTGCCTAGACATTTTGGGGCTCCTCCAAAGCCCTCCCTAATTTTATCTGTGCTTACATTCCATCTTCTGTTTCCCCCACTGCCTGTGCTCTAGACTAAGTTTTTCTCTCCTTTGCCTTATTTAACTCCTTCCAATGTTGACTACATCTTCATCCATAATGTCCCTCACCATTCAACAAAACCGGACAAATAATTAGTGACTAATAATTATTGTAAAAAATAAAGATATATTAATAATTTAATAAACAGTGATACTTCTTAATGTTCTCAGTTTCAAAGGATTCTAGATATCAGACAGTGCTACAAATAAAAACATTGGTTCCTCCTATTAGAAAATGTGATGGTTGTAGCTGCGTGAGCCTGAGAGATTTGTTTGCTGTACTTAGTTTTGCAAATTTCAAATAAGTCTGGAGTGGGGAGAAAGATGACCGATTTTCTTTCCTCAAACAAGTGTAAGGAAGTAAGTTAGGCATCCTGCTTACACTGAAAATCAATAGGCAGTTTTCCACTGAAAATTCCAATCTATGTAGATCAGTGATTCTCAAGTAGGGTACCATGGCACCCTGGGGCACCTTGACATCCTTTCAAGGGTGCTGCACGATGTCACACAATGTTAGCACCATTAGATTTACAATCATGATTCACAAGATAAACGCAGTGATTTCAAACAGAAATCCATAGTTGTGGTCCTTCTGAGTTCTTTGCAAGAGAAAAACTTGTCTGCTATGTCTCTGTAAGCAAAAAAAAGAGTGAAAACTAGGAGCTGGAATTTTCCAGGGGTGCCTCAGGTCTAAAAAGCTGAGAACCACTGATGTAGATATATATCAGCGGGTGCATCAACAAGTAAAATTAAGGAGACACAATGAACTCTGGAGTACACTACTGGAGTACACTACTCCTGGGCATGACATCTACACATGCACCCAGCACAGCAGCACTTGGAGCAAGGGTGGAACAGCCTTGGGCTGGCCAGGGCTCCAGGTGGTGGCCTCGGGTAGTGGAGGGACTGGCTGGGGCACAAGGGTGCAGCACCTACAGAGCTGGGTGGCTAGCTGGTGGGCAGCCCCCAGACTTTAGCTAACCCAGCCACCCTCTGTCATCATCTATGTATGCATTTCAGCACAGTAAATGACCCCACCATATGTCGAGGACAGCCCCCATCATACTGACATGGACAGTATGATCTTACGGCAGAGTTAATTTACCGCGCCTTAATACTGGTGCATGTGTAGACTATGATGCTTTACTGCAGAGCTAATTAGTTTACTCTACAGTAAATTGCATGTGCAAATATACATAGTATTTACTAACAGTGACCACACTGTTATCGAAGGCACTGTGGTGTGTATCCTTATATTCAGGCTAAGAAATAAATGTGGTTTACATATTCAACAGTTACTGTACATGTCCAATGAACTTTTAATAATTATAAACATCTGCTCTGAGTTAGTAAAACAAAAGTCAGTGAAAAATGAACTGGTTATGGGAGGTATTTGTGCCACTGCACTCAAGTGTATTCAAAACTACTCTACTGTGCAGACAAGCCCTGTTTTTCTTACCTCGTTGTTCTTGGCCAGTGGTCCCATTACATGGATTTTCTTTATTCATTCTCCTGAAGGAGGAGGTAAGACAGAAACATCTGGCCCTAGTCACTACGCTACTAGCAGCTGAAAGAGCACTGCTTTCTACATTTACTACACCGAGGAGTAAAAATGGAATAATGGCAAGTTTGTGTTGGCTGGAGCAGACATATCAGGAGCTACTATGTTGACTTCACTATCTGGAGGTCTCTAGACTGGTCTCGAGTGTAAATAAGACCAGGTTCTGGATCAAACACCTTAAATTATACTTCCTGAATTATCTGAAACTTCAGTATCACATAACAAACATACTTGATCTCCTTAGGTGTGGTTATCCTTTCAAATTTGCTGTGCTCTAGAACAGATCAAAGCAGCTCCTGTGCTAACTCCCAGGGGAAGCAGCAGCTCCTCTGGTGCATTCAGATGTCAAGCTACTTATAGCTCATGCTCTTATTTTTTGTTTTAGGCCTATTTCTTAACTGTACCTTAATTAAGACTAATGTCTTCCATTAGAGAACCAAATTTACCTCTACCCACACAAACCTGGCATTATCTCCTCTTAGCGTGTTATAAATTACTGACATCAGAAAATGCCAAGTCATGAAACTGAGATGATGAAAACTAAATGTGTCCTTTCAGCTCTCCATCCTGCCCCCCTACCCCCACTAAGTCCTGTACCAGAAAGCTACTGAATTCTGTGAAGATCAAAAACATATCCTATCAAGTTGGAAATTAACGTATTTCCATGCTCCATGGAAAATTCTGAGGGCTTGAGATTTTCATAGATTTCACAGATTTTAGGGTCATAAAGGACCTATTAGATTATGGAGTCTGCCCCCTGCCCTGGGCAGGAAAGAGTGCTGGGGTCAGATGACCCCAGTTAGGTGTTTGTCCAATTTTGTTTCATTCCAAAGGGAACTGAAGGAGATGAACAACCAAGGGAACCAGGAACAAGTCTCCCAGGGAGACCTGACTTCCTATCTTGGGCAAGGATCTGAAAGCCTGTAGGAAGGACCTGTCTTCCCACCATCCCACTAGGTGGGCTGCTGAGAGCCAGGAAGTCTTGGGAGCCCAAGATAATGAGAAACCATAGCAGCCCAGTCTCCCTAATAGCCTTCCATGAGGAGGACCAGGTATGTGGGCTGACAGAAAAAGAGGCAGGTTTCCAACAGCAATCCTGCCTGGTAAGGTGGGTTCCCCTGGACACCTGCTTAGTGTCCATCAGAACTTTTGTGCATCAGCCCTCTTTGCCCTCAAGAGTTTGTTATATCCCTTCCTCTCAGTTCACTGCCATACCCAGCTATCACTTGCGTTCTTCCAAAACATGCCTTAGATTCACTGCTATATCTCACATCTACTTGCTCTATTATTGCCCCCTTCTGTCATTTTTCTGCTGTTTGCCATTTTTGCCTCTTCTCCTTCGAGATGGATTTTTACTTTCGAATTTATGTTTTCTCCATTAACTGTCTTTCCCTCTCTACCTCCTTGTGAAGGCCCAGTTCTCATTCTCTCTCATAGTTCATCTTTCCAATCCAACTTCTCTTGTTCCCAGATCCTTTCTCTCTCAGTCCTCCCTACTTCCAGCTCTGTTTTTTGTTCCTTCCCACTCTTCACTCACTCACCACTTCTAAACCTTTTACTTCCTACCTTTGCTTTCCCTCATTGGCCATGTACAGGATACATTTCTAGTGGGAGAATCATAGCGCTTGCAGTAGAAACCATGAAAGTACAGGTATTCACACCGTTTCTCTAGGAACAAGAACTTTGGTTCCAGGGGGGATAATCCACGTCTGATATGGTAGAGATCATTCCCTGGATTCATTTCTCCTGGGAGAATGAATGCTTGTATACTTCCCACCATTTGACTCCATGGGGAAATGTTGCCTACACCTTCCCAAGACCAGGGTAACTCTGGTATGGAGAAGGCAGGGGGAGCAGCTGCTACTTGCCTCTCCCAGTCTCAGGAGGAGTTGAGTGGTGAAGAAAGGCACCCATGCCTTGTCCAGATTGGGGTCACCCCAGGTATGAAGCAGGCACAGGGGTTATCCGCTCCTATTACTCCCATAGACGGGGAGGACAAGGAAGGGGAGGAATAGCTGCCACTGCTCCCCACCCGCTCCTTACATTGGAGTCCCCTGTGTGAGGAGTGGGGGAGGGCTTTGCCACTCTTCTCAGTCCTCTCAGCTCTCAGGACCTTGTAACCAAGGGCCAGTGAAAAGAAACAGAAATTTCTGAAGAACAGAGAAGGAAGTAGAATGCTTTCTGTTTGACAGGAGTGCACCGTGACTTAGACCTGACAAGTCAGTGACTGGAAGGTAAGCTGGGTTACCCTGGACTAAAGAAATGCCTGTGGCTAGAAGAAAATGTTTTATCTGAATATTTATCTCATCCTTCTTTGCTTTAAAAGCTTTTAAATCAAACACAATTTATTTGCATATAATATATTAATATAAGAGACATAAAAGATCCTAACAGGAGGACATAAAAATATCAAACCAAATTTAAAATACAAGCAAGAATGAATGACAGTGGATTCAGGTCTAGTCCTATCAAAGTATTCAAGCTTTGTACTGCATCAGATTCCAATTCAGATTTGCTCTTATATATTTCTAAATGATCTCACTAGAAGAGTAAAAGCCATGTGCTGGCAAATGAAGAAATGATAAAGCAACCATTAAGAATATTCTGCCAATTCAGTCCCTGGTCATAACAGTGACAGTCTATCATTCAATTTCTTTTCTGCCAATGAATAAACATTAAGGTGCTTGGTACTTATATCAAAGAGAACAAAGGTATGAAAATGTCCTATTGAAAATTCTCTCCAGTTGTGAACCTTCAGGAACCAGCATGATTTTGTGAGTCGAAACAACACAGATTTTGCAAGATGCTGATGTAACGCATCCAGATATTACAGATGCACGTTATTTTCATGAATAAATTAATTCAATATTTATCAAGCAGCCCTGTAATATTCTCTAGTGACCATTAAGGAGCTGCAAATATTACATATTCTTTAATAAGAGAGCCTGCTTTACATGATAACTAACTTCCCAAATTCTGTGAATCATAGGACAGAAAATAAGGACTAGGGGGAAAAAAAAAATCACCAACAGAACTGGAGTAGTGACAAAAATAATAATTGCTATTGTCTGTATCAAAAATTGAATGTTTCAGCTGTGGATGTAATTATGCTACTTATCAATCCCTTAACTGCACATCCTCAGCCAGCAGGTTTTTTGCCAGTCCAAAGCAATTTTTCCCTAGAAAATGGGGCAACGCTGACAGCTAAGGACATGCAAATCTGTAGGGCTGTTATTTAGCATTAAATTGTATCTAGACATTGCTGCTTCATAGGCATGACATATTTCCATCACTGCCACCCACTGCTTCCCTTCATTTATTTATTTTTCTTCTCCCTTTTTCCCTCCCTCTCCCTTCACACTCTTTTTTTTGGACAAATGAATACCAAGATAAATAAACATTAAAAATACTTCATCCACATGATATAGTTGCTGCAGCCAAATGTTTCAACAATAGGCAGGAGTTGTGTGCATGCGTATGATTCCAAAAACTAACAAGAAAGATATTCCTATTTGTTCCCCTCTCCCACCTTGCCCCCCCACACCTGCCCATCCATCCCTGCTTGGGTTAGATTTTTTCATTTTCATCCAGGAATATTCTATACTGAAAGCAAAGACAGGGAAACTGTGTCACAATTACTACTTTCCTATGAGCCAGATACATTTGATACAAGTTCTACACAGAGAAAATAGATGCAAATGTTTTTATAGGGTCTGTGCATCCATATTTCCGTCACTCTGTAGTATGTGAGGCTCACCCACTAAGGAGACAGTTTCACATGTAACATCTCCTTCCAATGGTAGCAAAAAAGCTAGAGTGGGGAATGATCTGACAGAGCACTACTGCAGTGGTTATGTTAAGCTTTCACAGCACCTATCTGCATTATGTACAGCTTTAGGCAGAAGATGATTAAGTCCTGCACTTTTATACACATTAAACAAACACATTATGTTTTCAAAATTAACGAGGTATAGAAATCCTCTTTTTAATAGCATATGCTCTAGAAGGTTTAGACAGTGAAGCTAGGGTTGGACCCAAACCAAAACTACAGAATCTTGCCAGTTTTAGGGAATCATAGATTCTGATTCAAATCCCCAGATCTGAATCCTCTTCCCTGGGGGTAGTTTCAGGACCAGAAGTGGAAATCTCCTGCTAACAGAGGCACACTCATAAGATTTCTGTCAACTCATGCTGCACCTAAACTTGAGTAGAGACCAGGGTCAAGTCTTCTGCATTCCAGGAGTGGGTCTTAGAGGGTGGGATACATTGGGTGCCCAGGGCAAAGTGGAAGCAGTGACACACTCATAAACACATGGCTGCTAGCAGCACCCACTTTTTTTTGCACTCTTTCCACACCCTCCACCAAGTCAATGCCCAGAATACAATTGCCCCTATCACCCCACCCCTTAGTTACACTACTGCTCAGGACAGAATTCAAACAATACACGTCCCAGAGCTTGTAATACCACATCTTAGGAAGAATGGGACTGAGCACACCTTGCTCAAAATCCTGCCCACCTGAGTCTGCTGATGGGCTCCAAAACCAGAAGTTCGCCTGCAAGACTGCTCTGGACTTGTCCCAATGCCTTCACTTAAGCCCTGAGTCTTCACTAGGTATGAGAGAAGGTGACAGAGACAAGCCTGAAGCAATATCATGGGTGAACTTCCAGTGGACTTGGATGGTTGAGGCATGCTCAGTCCCACCCTCTCTAAGCCCCACGGCTGAGATGCAAAAGACATGATTCTTGTCTCCATTCAAGTTTAGGTGCAGCATGAGTTGATATAAATCTCATGAGTGTGCTTCTATTAGCAGGAGATTTTCCACTACTAAAGATGGAAGGATTTTGTCACATCCATCTTCTCCAGCTTCCTTTAATTTGGAGGCAAATTGTCACAGGAAGGAGTTGGCCAGATTCTGGCATCAAGGGACCTCAATCCTGGGTTGGACATTTGAATCTAAACTCAGAAAGATACCCTAAACCTAATTTGGATCTCACTCCTATCTGGAACACTATTGAGAGATATAATGATCATTCAAATCCTTAAATTTCTGCTCTCTACCCTTCTGTGTTTTCCTGAACAGCTCAGTCAGAAATCACTAGCAGCTGCACTTTACTGAAATTTTGCTGTGTGATTAGAGTGCCACAAACACTGAATCACTGGCAAGAACGGTCAACAAAACTATATCATCTAGCGAAGACAATGTTCAGTTAATAGGGCTAAGCACAGACATTCAAAAAGCCTGAGCCTGAATTGATTCAATCTTTGCAGGTTAGTCTAACCTGCGCAGACTGAACCAAATTGCCCACAGGGACCCCAGCTGGGGTGTGTCTGGAGGGGGAAGGGGGAAGCAGCCCTTGCCAGGGTTGTCCCCAAGGGTGGGGCATGACCAGACACCAACCAGGGGAGTGCCTCAGGTGAAGGGGGAGGGGGGCAAGGAGGGGGATTAAATTCCCGTGTCTCCCCTCTCTTCCATGGGCTGGCCTGGCTCTGGCCATGACCCCTGCCATGTGAGCAGCCAGCAGAGGGAAAAGCCAGGCAGACCCTGGCTGGGGTCCCCATGTCCGTGGGGAGAAGGGAGACAGGGGAGTTTAATCCCCAACCCTCTCCCTGAGCTGTTGGTCCATTCACCTGCCCCCTCCTCACCAGTGGAGAAAAGTCTGGCAGGGCCTGTTCTGCCCCTGAGAGGCAGACTAGGCTGTGCCAGCTGGGTTTCCCACCCCCACCTCCTTGTCAGCCAGCCCTCACTGCTCCGACTAGAGAGCAAAGAGACAGGGCCAACCCTGCTCTGTTTAGGCACACAGCATATCCCAAGGCTGCAAAGCATGCTGGGATGCTGGGGGCCTCTGATTTAACTTGAAGCAGGAAGGGGTCTGGGATAGAAGTTCCATAAACTGGTTTGACCCAAATCAGTTAAGTCTGATACTACATTCAACCAGGTTTATCTTAAACCAGTTTCAGCCATTTTAAAAATGGTTTATGTGCACTGAACTTCTGTTCTATTACAGGTTTAAACCAGTTTCTGATCACTTAAATTAGTTTATTTGTAATTTCTGTCCCTAGCCTAGATATTTTTACTCTTTTGCAATCTATGCAACCCGTTCAAATATGGATAACATCCAGGAGCCATACTACTGAAGACCATCTTAGTATGTTTTAAGCTTATCTATAATTATCATAATCCACAGATGTTATGAAGTTAAATGCAGGGTTGAGCCCATTCGGGAATGCTTGTCTAATCATTTAATTCAAATGACTGAATTCACATGAATTAATTCAAATGGTGAAAACAGAGAGAAAGAAAGAGATTGTATGTGTGTATTCTGGAAAGGAGAAATAGCTGTTTTATTTCAGCAAAGGCCAAGTTCATAGTGTTTGCATTCTGCAAAATGAACAATTATAATAATTTGAAAAACAAACCTTGTTTTGTTTAAGAGCTCCCTTCTCCTTCATGTGAGGACAGTCCTTTCCTGTCACAACTGCTTTTATATCTGCCACAGGCACTGCATTAAAAAGACAGAAAATGAGTGCAAGTGAAAGGTGCGAATGTCCTGGTGTCAAACAAGATGCGCCAAACAAGAGGCAAAGCTAATGTGTCAAAAATGCCACCCCTTTTGCCATTTCCAGAGCCTGCTCTGAGAAAGGAAACAGTAAGCAAAGCAACTGAAATAGACATCACAGACCTTGACAAAACCCATTAAGTTTATATTTTCAAAAGAAAATGTGACCAAGGATTCTGCATCCTGTTTCCTGTTGAGCTTTTCATGAAAATACACTTAATAGGTATTATATATGTGTATGCGTCTGTCTGGGTAGCCTTTATTTACACCAGTGAATCTATACAACCAGTAGTATATATTAATTTATACAGTACGTTTTCATGCTGTTTTACAATTTTGTCAAAAGTGGCTACTCAATCATTCTTGGGGGTTTGGATATAGAACCAGTGTGAAGCTTAAAATAAATACGCTTAAAAACAACATTTTTTAAAAACCAAACTCATTTTTAAAAAGTTCTTAAAAGTTTCACTTATCACAATCACCATGAAAGCAAAATTGACGAGGTCACTGGAACACAGGATAAATGTATCTTGCTTCAACTGGAAGTCAATTTTCCAGCAGTAATTATAAATCTATCTACTTTAGAATATAATATGGTCAGGGAGTGAGAGGAAGCTTCAACAATCTATAAATGAATTATCTTGTGACTGGAAAAGCATCATATGGAACAGGATAATAATATCTAAATCTGTTTTTAGTTGATTATTTAAAATAGTTATGTAAAGTCTGCAGTAGAGAAATATATCTTTTATGGCACTGGGCTCAGCACCATGGTACATGTTATGCATTTCATAAATCAGGACAACAACCTGTTGCATCACTCACAGCAGTGTAGTTGAAAAGGCAACATGGATCAGATTGGTACAAGCTGTAGGGGTTTTTGCCTTCCTCTGTAATGGGGAGCATGGCCCCCTTCTTGGGATCTCTTGAGCATATATTAACGCCCTTTACAGAAGCAGAATGTTGCCCTCCATGCTTTACTTGTGGCAGGTTAGTGTATTTGAGTCTTGTATTGTGTCAGGGTTGACTGTGTGGTTTTGCTAAGAGGTTAGACAGTGGATTTGTATAGGATAGTTTGGATAGGGATGATCCTGCCTCAGGCAGGGGGTTGGACTAGATGAGGTCTGCAGGTCATTTCCAGTCCTACTTCTCAATGACTATGAAACTTTTGAATGTGTTTTATATGTAAGTAAACCTGTTGACATTTTGACCATCATTGCAGTATCTGAACACCTTCTGCTTAAAATCAATAGCAAAAGCAAAGTCTGTACTGGACTATAGCCAACTCCCCTTGTCTCTCCTGCTCACAAAACAGGTTCATTATGATATGTTCAGAATGGTAACACCTTATAAGTAGGCTCTATTTATCTGTTGAAAGATCCTCCCGTTCCATTCAACTAACTCCTTACATAGGAAACAAGACTGACCACAGGACCTAAGTCCAAAAGGGCACTCAAGGAATGAGTGGCCCTTCTTCAGATTGTGTCCATATCTACTTCACTTGATCAGCATTAAAGGTGAGGGTCTGGTCACAGAGTGTTCACGTGTGGGATTCAATGCCTCATCTTTCATTCCAAAGCTAATGTAACTTTTTTCCAGCTGTGATGCAAACAAATCACTTCTCTCAATGCCAAGGTAGCAATAAGAAACACTGTCCTAGATTCCAACAAAGGACTGCAGTAAGGGCCTGAAACATCCTTGAGGCTATTCTGTAAAGCACTGAGAATAAGGGAAATCTGACTACAAACTGCTACTGTTATGGGGCTCTAGTTAGGTCTGTTCCCTCACCTGGCCCAGCACCAGGGAATACTCAGAAAGGTTATGAGGAACAGCAGCGAGGGAAAAAGACAGCTTACATTTGTTATTCCAAATGCTTGTTCTGCATTTGAATTATTTTATTCATACATTAAAAGGTTTGAATCATTAAGTTACTTCTCTCAGACTGGAGAAATTAGACACCTGAAAAACTGTTCCCTGACTTCACTAAAGAAGAATAATAAACTTGTCTGGTTTGCATATAGATGCAACTAATAAAATAATGCCAACAATGATATTTATTACTAATGAAAAGTACACGAGGAAAATTATTTCTGATCCAAGCGCTGGTGCTACAGGCACTCATCATGGCCTCGTAACCATTAATGACTACATGGCCAATATACCACAGCAGGGTTGAAAGCATTAGTGTCCTTAATTCAGGGATGGGAAACTGAATGACAAAGAGTAGTATCAAATTTCCCGCCCCCCGGGATAGATCTGGACCATGATCTGGACCCATTTCTAGTGGCAGATCAATAGTGGCAGAGGCAGGAAGGGTACCAGCTCACAGAGCTGAAAGGATTAATGCAGCTGTTGTTTGTCTAGTAGCTGCTGACATGGGGACTTCAGCAGCAGGCCACACCCCTGAATTCTCAGTCCCTCCAGGAGCCATATTTTCCATACCCCTGGATTAAATGATCTGTTTGAAGATGCACAGGAAGCCTGTAAGCATGGTTACTTCGCACCAGAAAGCTACTTAATGCCACATCTTCCTCAAATTACTTTATTAGATGGCAGCTCCTTCTCTACAGTTGGTTCTGTGGATGGTGTCTCCTTGTTGCTCAGTTTCTTAAAGGTAATCAAATCAACTCTAAAAATTGAATGAAGTCAGTATGAAGTTAACTGTCCTTTTCAAAGAACATTCTCAAAAATAGGAATGTAAAAAATAAGGGACATATTCACTTTCCCAGAAAGATCAACAGTTCCTTAACAGAAGCAGAGGTCTCAATTCAGGAAACTACTGACAAACGTGCCGAAATTCTCATTGTACCAAATTAAAAACCAGAATTAAAATTCATAACTAGGCAGTGGCCTGAGCTAAAAAAATCAGAAACTGATCATTACCCATTTCGGGGAAACTGGATCCAGGCTGAAAAACTATGGGCATTTATAGACATGCTTTGGGAGGTGGTGGTGGTGGGGAAAAACACATGCTTTAATTAGTTAAATTTTAATTTAAAATGCCTGGATTGTCATGTGAATCAGCATCCTTGTGCGAAAAAATGGATGTGGGGCCCTTTGAACTAAAGATCATTGAACAAGCTTAATTTAAAGCGACCCAACACATTTTTCAGCACAGGTACACTGATGCACATGACACCAGAGTCTGCTGGAGCACGGTAATTACTGTGTTCCAACAGACTCAACTGATTGAACTTACAGTGTGTTGGAACAGCCTCTCTGCATGTGTATAGGAGCCCTATGGCTCAAAATTGTGCTCACTTATAATCAAATGAACTTGCAATTCAACTGATATCACCAAAATTTGACTAGATTGAGGTCATTTATCACTGTGAACTGTGGAGATGGTGTGGGCATAATGGAAACAGAAAAGAAGGCAAGCTTTAAATCACATTTCTCACTCTGATTCAGGGGTTAGGTGGGTACATCACAGAACAGTCTCAGGAGTATTAGGTCAGCTTGCATTCACAATGCCAAGATCTGGCTATTCATCTTGGATTTTACAAACAGGAGGATTCAGATCAACAGGACCTGTTTAGAGTCAGGTCTGGAAATGTTCCCTCCTCCTGGAAAGGGGAGCATTAAAAAAAAACCAGGCAATTTGTAAGATCCACCATTGCTGCATTTTGACAGATTCTTTATTGACTACATGGAACTAAGTACCTGCTGAGAATGCTCAAATGCTCATGTTAAGATATATGTTAACCACCAGAGACATAGTAAACTAAGTCTCTCAATAGAGGTATTCCTCTTGCATCATCTTAAAAGTAAATGACAGAAATAACTTCAAAGTTCACAAAGATAAGGCAGTATGTTTAAATGACTTACATTTATCCTGCAAAGAATCATGCGGGACTTCTCCTTGGGGACTTTCTTCCAAATCTCCATAGTGCAAGACTTTGTGATTTGGTGATAGTCGACAATACCAGAATTTGTCTGTTAATAAAACACATTACACATAAGGTTACCATCTGTACTTGTTATAATTATTGATACTATAAGAGATAAATCTATTCAAATGCTATAGCTGCCAAGAACAAATACTGTAAAATGGTTAGAAAGAGAAAGTGCGTGTGTTGTGCTGGAAAAGGAAAAGGCTCTCAATTGTTCACGTGATGAAAATGAGTCTTTCGAGTCTAAAACCGTTTCCTATTTTCATTCACCCATTAGGAGGAACACAAATATTAAACAAGAATGCCCTTCAAAATGAGGCTGGGTAGGCATCTGTCTGTCATCCTAGGTTTAGGAATAGCAAACCTGAAACTGTACAAGAAAGTTGGACTAGAAGATCCCTGAGGTCCTTTCGACCTATGATTCTACGCCTTGAGTTACATAATAAACTCTTCCAGGCAGAGCCCTGGGCTAAGGTTTTCAAAGGTAAGTGTTGATGGCTAACCTGAGACAACTTTATGGGCCTGATCCTCTGAAAGTTCTGATCATCTAACTGAGCATGCCTCTTTAAGATGTCTCAGTTGGGACACTCAAAGTGAGACACCTGAAAAAAAATAGGCAAGTTTGACAACTGTGGTCCTAGCCTTTTTATATGCCTTATGAAGCACTGTGTACCTTTTACAGGGGTAACAGTATATAAACAATAATAAATATCCTATGAATTTAATAACTACAACCTGTACTGCCTTAGCCTACAGATCACTGATTCTCAACCAGGGTGCCAGCACACCTTGCCAGGAGATCCTTTTAAGGGTGCTGCTCTAGCACTGTTAGGTGTGCAAACACCTACACATAATTCACAAGACAAACCCAAAGATTTCAAATAGGAATCCATAGTTTCAAAGACATTCTGATTAGTTGTGGTCTTTCTGAGCTCTTAGCAACAGAAGATTTGCTCTAGTTTCCTGTAGTCAAAACACAAGTTAAAGCTAAGAGCTGGTGTTTTCTGAGTCCAAAATAGTTGAGAACCGTAATAGATCCATATTATGCATGTCCCCAAATGTATGCATATTGCATTCCTATTTAGCTCTTACTAGCAACCCAAGTGTATTTAGTTCTCTTTCCACCTTTCAGTTCTCTATTTATTATTCCCCTTAACAATATTTGTCAAGAACTGCTACCACTAACAACATTTGCTTTGACGAGTTAGGCTACAACACTAGCTAGCATGCAAGGTCACTGCTTGCCAATTTCATTTCTGAAACGATAAACACTGTGCTACTCTTCTTGCCAAAGCATGTCTGCTTAATACATAGGCCACATAACGTTAAGTTGTCAGAAACACAATTTTGCTACAGCTGTACTATAACTCTCCTAACGCTCTAAGCAGGGCTAGATGAAATGGCAGTTAAAATACCAATGGGCTGCTTAGTGGCTTGTCTACATTAGTGCTTCTATTGTTTCTATCACTGGTGGGAAATCTGAGAGGATAAGACTAGCATAGGCACAGCCCTGCTGTACCACACTAGCATGTTGGCTTTACAAGTTTAACGTTTCCAAGCATCCTCTAAAGCCCTAACAACAGCATTTATATGCCTCTAAAGTAGCACCCTGCCCTACCTGCTGCCTGATTTCAGACTAGCATGGCTAGCCACCTCTTGATAGAATATAAAAATTGCTTGATAGACAGATGTGATCTGACATAATGGTATCTTTAAACTGTCAATGTACTTTCCACTTTTAGCTATATTCTTTCTAAAGAATGTGGCTCAGAAATGTACAGAGAGACTTGAAAAACAACTAGAAATATCTTGGAATTTTATGTAATACTTTCTACTAAAGGATCGCAAAGCTCCTCAGGAGCAACGAAGGGGAATTCTGATCTGTTATGCAAACGCAAATTGGGAGGAATCCCGACATGAAAGAATTTATTCTGGGATGCCTGAGACTAGAATCTTGTGCTACCTGCATACATTTCAGGGCACCCACTGAAATTAGTAGGAAACAGGTTTAAAACTAACATGAGAAAGTACTTTTTTACACAATATTTAGTTTAACGTGTGGATTTCATTGCCACAGGAGGTAGTAGAGGCAGATGGCATAGGTGGGTTAAAAAAGGGACTACTTTATGGATGATAGATCTATTAATTGGTGTTGAACAGAATGCTTGGAGATATTTCCCCTGGCTTCTCTAAATAAAGGCAGATGCAAGGGAGGGTAATGGATAGAGTAATGAATGGATAGGGTAATGGACAGAGGACAGATCACTCTAGATCTATCCAGTTTAATGCTCTCCACTTCTGCCACTAGGCTAGATGGACCACTGATCTGACGCAGTATAGCACTTAAGTTCCTATGCTCGTATGTGACACTGAAATACAGCCATCCCTGGAATATAGGCCAGCACAGTGTTGCACATCACTACAGACATGGGAATTTTAGGAAACCAGGAGTCTCTATACTTACAAGAATGTCAGAGAGACTTAATAATAGAAAAGACTTCACCCTTAGTTTGTATGGACTCATATGAAAGATCTCACATAATTAACTCCTTGGCACTCCAATGCTTAAAAATGTATGCTAAAAATGTCCCTTTCCAGTAGTGGTATAACTCCGAGTTCCTATTAAATGCAGTAGCAAGATATTATCTTTAGCAGGATATTTAGGAGACAGCTTATTAATTTTGGACAGTACGAAGGAACATAACTTGCAATGTCTTATCATTAAAGAAAACCCATTCTTCCTAATAAAACTTAGCTTGGCTTTACTGTCATCTCAAGACCTTAGGGCAATGAGTAAGTGGATGGTGTCGTGGAAGACAATTACTATGAAACACTGAGGAAAATCAGACTGTATGCTGAAGTTAGTAAAAAACTAAAATGGATCAGATTTGTAATGCACTTCAAGACTAGAGTGTTTTGATAACCTTTTAGCTGTGAACCCTTTCAAAAACAGAGGAAAAGAGTGCAAGTCCTCACTCCTTTACAGCTCAGAAGGCTTGTAGAGCCTTTTAAAACAATTCCCAATATCACAAGGATAATTAAAGAACTAATAACCATAGGCTGCAGTTCATAGCATGCCCAGTATAACTCTTCAGCAGTCTCACTAATAGCTGCCATCATAACAAAATTTTGCTGTCAAGGGGAATTCTTTTAATTGAAACCTGCAAATGAAACTAATGAGCTCTTGTCAGCTGTAACTGTTGAATGTCCAAGCTGAGACAAGGGCAATCAGTACATTAGTAATGAAAAAAACACACACAGTTTTCTTTTTGGATCCTGCCACACACCATCACATCCACAGCTATTTGGGTTTCAGCTTGAGACTCTGCTAATGCACGTATCCTATATAGAGGTAATAACCCACATGTCTGCTGTTTTATAGGAGCTGCTGTGAAGCAGAGCTGGTGAGTGCTGCTATTTTTACTACACAGGTTTTCCAAATGTTTTGATTCATACATATTTTTATGCAAGAAGTGATAAACTAACAGCATAGCTAAAGCCATAACCAGTCCAAGCAGAGCTAAACATAAAAAGGAGGAAATGATGTCTATGGGTACAAGAAAGTTTATGATGTCAACAATGCAATTTCTGCTTCCAACCATAAATTCCTACAAACAATCAGAAAGAAAATGCGAGTACAAGGTCTTATTCTTTTATATCAGTGTTAAGAAGAGGTGGTTTTAAACTAGGAAATCCTAGCTCAGAAGGCACCTTGAGCCTGTTAAATTGATTCCATAGCATATACTGGAATTTAAAAATCTGGAGAGGAATTCCAGAAATGGAAACCCATCTCATGAACTTGTAGGTGTGTGCATGTAACTGGAAAAATCCATTTTCTGGGTGAATGGTCACCTCGATAAATGGTGGCTTGTGTTTTGCCCAGGAAAACTGTTAACTGCTAACCAGCTTGATTTCTTCTGGAAGAAATGCTCCATAGTTCAGGACCCCGCCCCCCCGAGATGCTGGATGTCTCTGGGTAATAGAGTATTTTTTGTATTTGACATCATACATATCTTGATCTTATCTCTTTTATGCAATGAGTGGTTTCTAGGAGGATATCTTGTTAAAATTAGAAACAGAACTGAGTGGCAAAGCGGGCTCATGATTTAACTGAAGTCTCAGTCACTAGGTTTTTAAAACCTAGGCAGTTCTTAAGTCTGTTTTACTCACGAAGACTCAAGTACTGGTGTTATGGATTCTAGCTTGATTATTAGGATTACAGCTCCATAGACAATACTACAGTTCCCATCTTTCTGAGGATCACAGAGAGTTTTAATGCTTCAGTGAAGTTAGTTTGTCAATGAAGTAGGATAACTTTTATTTTATCTTTTTTTACAGTTGGCAAACTGAAAGACAGCAAGAGCAACATCATTTGTCCAAAGCAATTTAAGAAACAGATCACCAGACGCCCAGTTCTCTTCTGCACTGTTCCTTTCTAGATCTGTAAATTGGAAAAAGTAAATCAATTTATTTTCCACTTGCACTTTTTGTTTCATTATTCCAACCATATTCTGGACCCGAGTCACTTCTGGGGGTACCAGTGGGTAAAATCTGTAGCTCCATTTGCTAAATCAACTCATTGTGGAAGAGCGAGCACTTATCCACTGGGCAGTCTGCCAGGGTGGGGCAAAAGTCGCTTCACTGAGTTTATACTCTGCCAGTGCATTTCCCACAGGCCCTATTCAGCACTGATAGAACCTCTTGCTCATTTGGCCCCACCTATATTAGATTTGCATTGACTTGCTCTGGACCTCCAACCATCTCTCTGATTCAGTTCTGGGCAAATTTGCTGTCACTGGGTGACAGTAATTTGTCACTAGTGGAAAATGGACCCGCTAGCTCTACATTTCCCTGAAATCCCATAAATTAAACACCCACCCCACTTCCAAGTACAGGGTGGCTGGTTTTATTAAACCAAATTACTAGAGAAAAAGACTAACATTACATTCTCTAATTTTCAACTTCAAAAGATGCTATGCAAATTGTTTACATCTTCAAACAAGAGCTGCAAGAGCCTGTTAACTAAATAGCATCTTGTCACAT